CCGAGGGCGCGCCGGGACCAGCTGCCTGCTGAGCGATACACCGAATTCTTTAATGACTCCGAGAATTCCGCCCAAAATGGCAGCATTTTTTCCTGGTCTCCTCAGTGGCTCTCCTGCCAGCCCGGTAGAAATGGAGCTACTGCGAGTGAGCTATCAGCTGCGTTGCTGCCTCATGGAGATCATGGTACAGAGCTTCCCGGGAACATCATTGGAATCAGTAGCGTCCATGAATTTGCATCTTCTGAAGATAACGAACAACCGCATATTGCGTCTACACCGCTTTTGAACGACCTGGCAGCAACGACCAGTGCTCCGCCCGCAACAGACGGTCCAACTTCAACCAAGGTGTACGACGGTTCTGCTTTCAAGTCTTTACGGTTGCACACAGATGATGGCGATACCCAAGCTGTTGATTGGGTAAGACAACTCCATCATTTTCATGCACATTAGGTTTTACACTCAGAGAGCTGCCACTCTCAAGTATATTTGTTTGATATAGGAAATTTAGTTACAGCTACTTGTATGTGCCTTTACCTGTTTGTAAAGACTCCCTTGACAGTCCCCAGCACAGTTTGTTTGCCACTATTGTCTTTTTAACTCTCTCATGTAACCGCTTAGCCGTGTCGCCATACACATTTTGTTACTGCCTTTTCGCTTATTAGTCTATTTTTTTCTTCGGAAATGCCCCGTGAGATCAATTCGCAGTTAAAAACGCATTAACCTCTTTTCGAACGCACACAGTGGACTTACCTTTTGATAACTTATTATGCAGTTCACATTAACGTATACGTCTTTATGATGAAGGGTGACTTGTAAAAGTCACTACTCCATTGAAAAGATAAGCACTATGTTCGTCGCTTGCATTTAACTAACTTTTTATTAGTTTAGGATATGTAACTGAAACCCCTCTGTTGCTTTAAGTGTACCATGTGTTTTGGGTTCCCGGGAACTGTAGTCGAATAGTATTATCCTTATGTTTTACCATCACAAACGGAACCCTCTAGTCGTTTTTGGTATCATTTCTCTCAGGTTATTCTCACATGCCCAACTGAGAAGTTGCGCCTGGTTTTCTCCGACGATATGCACACGATTCAAGAATTATTGAACTACTCCAAAGGACGTGCGTTCAGTACACCGCTTCCTTCCC